AGGAATGGGATGCTGAAGTGCAGCTTCTGTCATTTAACTGCTAAATTAAATCTTAGGCTCGTTTGTTCACCATGGGAATACACATTCTCTGCCTGTTCTTGGAAAGGAGAAAATAAAGGATGGAGAACAGCAACAGAAAAGTTATTGGTGCCCTGAGGGTACAGTTCATTAAGTCAGTAGTCAACAGGTACAGTGTGCATTCCAGTGGCTTTCTCTGAGCTAACATTACCTTTTGGACAAGTGGGCCTAACACTGAGAGTGCATTTTATTGTGTCTGCAGTATGACATAAGCTAGATTTTACTCACTTTGTTTGAACATTGCTGATGAACTTTCCCTGGGTTTAAAGCCAGATGACACAAGGAACCTGTGTTAGTCTGGGAGTGTTAAACACTGAAAATTACCAAGTATTTTTTCCAGGAGGAATTCAGTACCTCCTTGTAATTTAAGGAGAATTCAGACATAATTTTTTAGCCTTGTTGCATTGTGGAACCTACTCTCACTCTTTGTCATCAACCAAATCGGAAGCTCCTTCAACTAAAAGAAATTTTAACAGCAAATACATTCACAGTTTATTCCCTAAATGCTGCTCTTTATAAACAGCAGCTCTCAAACGTGGATGGCTGTGTAAGAAGGTGAGTGGTGGCTGCTGAATGGAGAAAGAAAAAGCAGCTCATTCTGTGCAGTGTGAGCACAAGTTTCAGTGTTTTCTAGACAGTCCCTCAGATAACCCATTATGCACAGTCCTGCATGGATGGAAATGTGAGTCCCCTTTCACTGGCTTGAAATCCAATCAGTGCCAATTACTTCCAGGGAGAAACAGAAAGGTCCTGGATTTAATGGCCTAGTTCACGTTCCAAAGAGCTTCATGTCCCAGCAGACAGAGGAAACTTTGGGATGTCTCAGATGCTAATAACTCCACCAGTTAGGATAACTCATATACCATGACTGAGCTTGAGGACTGCATGGACTTCCCCTCACATCTCCCAGCATGACCCACACAAAGACTGCCAGTTCTGATTTACTCACCATTCCTGGAAATGCCTTCTATAGTCAGGGGAGGGTTCTGTCTCCAACTTTATGGCAAACTAAATAAAAACAACACAACAAGAATAACAACAGGAATAATAATGTTCTTGAAAATAAAATTTAAGAAGTCATTGATGATGATAAAATTATCTTACCTTTAGAAAATTCATTCATAAGAGCTATAAGATAAAACTGAGAAAACCTGGAAAAAGACAACACTCTTCTAAAGGAAGGAATCTTGTCTCCCTGCTCAGGCTGGTCCTCCCAAAGGTGTGGATGTCACTAAGACCAGATCAGAGTTCGTACCCAACCTGCCTTTTCCTTATGCCCATACAGCATGTGGAAAAGGCTTGAGACAACTTAAAAATCTTAAGTAAATCCTCCCTGCTTTCCTCTCCCCACCCAGTCCTTTTGAGATCTCTTTTTCAGTGTTTACCTATCAAGCCTACCCTGAGACTGGGCACGTAACACATTTGGAGACATAAATAAGCTGTGAAATCCTGCTGGGAGAGTGCATGAGCTACTTATAGCTCCGTAAACAGAGTCAGGTTTGAGAGCTCCACGGCATCACCAAAAACTAGAGACCTTTATACTGCTGGGGTGAAAAAAGAAGTGTTGCATGAGAGCAGACACAGTGTTTTCACATCAGGATCTTCTCAGCAAAATATTCAGGAAGGCTTCCCAATTGTAGCTGCTTTCTACCCCACTCCAAACCCACCTTTTGCCCTGTACTAGATTAAAGTATCAAATTCCAGGGGAATGCCCTCCCATTGTGTACTCTGCAAACACTTATTCTTGTGGCACATTTATTTATTATATGGAGAACTGATCCACTGTTCTGCCTGGCACTGGTTACTTTCAAGGACTCCCATTTTGCCTGAGAGGGAACAGATATAAATAAGGAGAGAATAAAATGCTGTCAGAGAATAATGTTCTCTGTTTTTTTAGGACCAAGAAAAGCTAAAACCACCATAAAAGGGCAATAATTGATTCTATGAGGACAACACTTTATCACACTGCTGTGCTGCCATTATGCCAAAATAAATTGAAACACCTCAGTCTGTCTCTATATTTAATTTAGCTTACACACCTAATTTTGGCCTTTTTTTAAATGACCTTGGAAAGTGAAATGTATTTTCTCACAGATATAAATTTTACACATCACATTTGGAGTATAATATCTCCAGACATTAATCTCATTACTTTTAAGGACACCAATGGCGCATGAAAAAAAAAAAAGTGAGAAATGAAGAGAACATTTTAGTTCCTGATTACTCATTGGACCTGAAGCAAAGCTAGACTGATTTCTAAGGCAATTAATTAGTGCTCTGAAGGACCACACAGTATGAAAAATAACAGTGGCAACATTAAACACTTCTGCAGATGCACATCATCCTTTTATAATCGTTATTTATATGTAACTCTGAGAAATCCATTTCTGGGTTCTCCCCAGTATATTCATTGCAAAAGCAACTCTAAAATCTGACTGACTTGTTTCTGTGTTATCTCTGTTCTGCTTTATAGCTGAAAAGGTGCCATTTGCTGGGTTTTGGCAGGATATACCTGCAGGCAGTTCCTCTCCCAGAGGTCAGGGGTGTTGGAGCATTGGACATAATTCAGATTCCTGTGTGCACTGATTTTACCAATGGTTCATTTTTCAACTGTAACCCATTCCTATAAATGTGATTTCTCAGTCAAGGCTTCTTTGAAATATAACCAAAATATGTTATAGCTACTCAACAAATGAATCATCAATTTTCCTGCACATAATTCAGCTCGAAACTTCTATGTGTGTATGTATTGTATCAATTACCACAGATCACCAGCCAAGTCCATGCATCCATCATCCATGCAGACACCTTGGAAAAGGGCAAAGTTTGAAGCATGTCTCATATGATATACATCTTGGATGAAGAAATTCTGTTTCAGAAGCAAAATGTCATAAAACACTCAGAAATAATAGCAATAAAAAAAGCTTACTGAGTTTGGTTAAAATAAACTAGGACAGAGTTGCTGCCTTGGATGCAAAAAAAACCTCAAACCAACCAAAAGAAACAGACTAGGTTTATGAATGCCATAAAAATAAACTATTTTAATAGGTACATAAATAAAAGGTTTAAAGTCAAATTTTCCCTCCAAACATCAAGGTGGCCTAACTTCTGTACAGAAACTGAACAATATTCACGTGGCTCCTAAATTAAATAAACCCTTTGTTACATTCAAAACCATTGGGAGGCAAATACACAATGCAGTGATGCACCTGAATCGTTCTGCTTCCTCATCCTAGCAGTGTTATACAGTATTTCCTTGGTTTACAGTACTCTGAGGATATGGATCTGTTAAATAAAACTCTGAATGATGGGGTGGAAATAAAATCACAAACTCCAAGTTAAAAAACCCCAAACATCCCTAAGCACCCACAGGAGCACCTTGCACCAGCCAGGAAGTTTTAATGGAAGAGAAATAAGGACTGTGCTGTAAAATAAATTATGTCTCTTTGTTGTATAGTTATCTTAAAGTGTATAAATATTACATTCACTTTGGTGATGTGTTTTTTGTCTGTGCCTATAATAAATTACAGGTGGTGTGTGCTAGCTGGTCATGTGTCTTCCTGCAAATTGGGGGAGCTTAGCACATCTAGGAAATGTTAAAAATATTCAGACTTATTTAAGACAGTCAAAACCTAATTCAAAGCAGCTTTCCTCCTATCATGCTCCCCTCCCCAGCACCTCTAAAAAGTTACCCTGATAGCTTCACGTTTTTGCTGTGTCATGGATTGGTGACTAACACTTACTGACCCACAGAGGTTCTCAGGTTCTGCTTTTCTTTTCCCTCTCTGAATCATCAGTCTGGGAACATCTGCTGTGAACACCTCCATACTCTCCAAAGATTCCAACTAATTAAGGCAAGGAATCAACACAAGTCCATCAAAACTGAATGGCCTGAAATGAGATGTTACCGCTGATATCTGGAATGTGGAGGTGATGGGTGAGGACCATTCATCCTGTGGAGGAGAAAGTCTGTCATATGGTCACTCAGACCGTTGACATCTCCTGTGCTGGTGAAGTCAGGTTAAAAATTAAGATGACAACTTTCATCCATAGTGCAGAACTGGCATTTCTAGTCTATCCTGTCAGAAACTCAAGACAGTTGGGCCAAGCTGACTCAGACTTGGCCAAGGAGTGTTCTTAGAATCTACCCACCAGCAAGACGTGAGCGGCAATGAAACGATTGCCCCTTTTTCCGATTGGCTTTTTTCTTGCTCTTGTTCTTCTTTTGCTTGTTCACACCTTTACTTTTATCTGATTTCTTTTTCTTTTCATCCTCCTTAAACCACGGTCCCCAGACTCCTCCGTTCAGCTTGGGGTTACTCCGAGGGTCCTTAGGTGGGTACCGAACAGGAACCGCCGTCTTGTTGAACTGCGAGAGCCTCCGCAACAGCTGCTTCACCACATCTGGATACTTGGAGGAGAGGTCCACCCTCTCATAGGGGTCAGCAGTGATGTTGAAGAGCCACACTGTCTTCCCAGCTGACCAGGAGACGCGCTCATTGTGCCAGCGGTTGGGCCCCGCGTTGCTGAAGGCCTGCGGGGGCACCCAGTCGCTGTACCCCGGGTTCCCTGTCAGCAGCTTCCAGTGGTTCACTCGGATGGCAGACTGGATGGCAGTGTTCCAGATGCCATACCCAGCTGCCCAGGACCCATTTTTTGCCTTAGTGTAAATGGGGTCGATGTTGTGCAAGATGTCCACCCGCGGAGAACGTCTGCCTTCGCTAATGGTTTCCCAGATGTCATAGCCATCCAGCTGGATGTCCTCATCGATCTGCCCTTCTGCCAGGGTGATCAAGGTGGGGAACCAGTCTGTGATGTGCACTAGCTCCTTACACACAGACCCTTTGTTTCTCAGAAGAGGGCTATGGACAAACCCAACAGCACGGATCCCTCCTTCCCAATAGGTCCCTTTGCTCCCTCGGAGAGGCCAGTTGCTTCCTCCAGCCATTGGCTGCCCACCATTATCTGAAGAGTATATGATAATGCTGTTCTCATAGTACCCATACTTCTTCAAAGCAAGGGTTACATTGTTTATGGCTTCATCCAAGCAAGCCAGCATGGCCGCGTACCTCCGCCTGTTGATGTTATTTATCGACCGATAGTGTTCAAAATACCTCCCCGGGGCCTGAAGAGGTGAATGCACAGCTTGGTAAGCAATATATAAGAATATGGGTTTCCTGGGGTTATGAGAAGCCAAGATCTGCTGTACTTTTTGCGTGTACATCTGCGTTGAGTAGATGCCGTTGTCGTGGTCCCAAGCCGCATTGTCGTTCTCGTAGAGGTCATAGCCACATATCCCAGGGCTGTCGCATTTGAAGTGAGTATAATAGTCACCACTGCCCAAGAGAGAGCCAAAGAAAGAGTCAAAGCCTCTCTGGGTGGGCATGCACTCCCTGCGGTAAAAGCCCAGGTGCCACTTGCCTACCATGTGCGTCGAATACCCAACCTCCTTCAGCTTCTGAGGTAGCGTGACGTTATCCAGAGGTAAGCAGTTGGGCTGCGTCGGCCGTATGATGGAGTGCTGAAGGCCTGTGTGGATCTGGTACCTGGAGGCAGGAGAAGACAGGCATCAGGTAGGGAGGTGGAGGAGACCCATGGGTATACCCATAACAGAAAATATTCCTGTGAATGCAGCAAGCATCTCTGGAAAGTTTTCCAAAAACCAGCTCAATCATACTATCAGATCTGCTGAAACAGTTGAAGAGCAACTGTTGTGCTCCACAAGTGTTTAAGAGTGGTTCCTCCACCTGCTTTGGCCAGAGGGCAAAACCAAACATGACCCAAGAAATGTGCCACAGCAGCAACACCCTCCTCTCTCCCTGCTGGCCTCACTGTTAATGCTTTAGTTTCCTTGTAGCTGTGAGCAGTGCCAAAGGAGCTCAGAGGCAATGTGGTGTCTCTGAAGCATTATTTGGGCACTGTTTTACAGCTAGCAGACTCCAGATCTCCATAGTATCCCTTATGCACAATACCAACCATAGGAAGCAGACCAAGTGCTGCAGCACAGCTCAGGAACAGCTCTCGTGGCACACGCAGTACTGAAAGTCTGAGGGTCTGATTTCAGCTCATGGGCTATGACTTCGCATCGATTTCCTGAGTAAGAGGCACAAGTACGTGTGGATGGCCAGGACCCTGGACAAAACTCAAGGAAAGGGGTTTCTGAGTGATCACTCCAAAGGAAGTGCTAACTTCAACACTGGATCTCTTCAAGCAGTCATCTTCTGTCCTTGCCTAGCTGTTGGATGAAATTTCCTTCCATGAACTGAGCTAGTTGAAATACCTATATATAGAGGAACACAGGTATTTTGATGTACTCTTTTTTTCCCTCCACAGAAAGCTTTCACATCTCAATTTAACAATTATTATAGAAAATTACATAGATAAACAGGATTTTTACAATGCCTCGTAATTCCCTAGCAGTAACCATATCTACAGCATATAAAAACGCTGGACTTTGAGCATGTAAGAGCAGTATATTTAAAGGATGGGATAATAAATTCTGCAATGCAGTACAGCCTGTGTGTAAAGAATACATATGGCCTCCATATGATTAGAAAATGAATCCAGCATGGGCAGCAGCAAGTATCAAAAATCAAGGACAAGTGAGTTTGTATCAGTTTGACACTGAAAAATCCAATGTAACGGGAGACTGTAAACCAAAGACAGCTTCTCCCTGAGTGTGAGAAGAGATGAAATTCTCAGTCGTGAACAGAACAGCCAGATCCACCAATCCTGAAAATCCCCCCCAAAACCAATTTTTTATTCATTTGTGGTAGCAGCTGAGACTTCCTGACACATTCTCCTGCTGTTGCCAATCCCATTGGCCTCCTGAGCTATCTAGAAAATTAAAACCATTAGGCTCTGCCTGTCCATAAATAACTTCAAGTCTGCTTTTATATGATAGCTTCCTGGCCAAGGAAGGCGCCATAGCTGTCTCTAGTGCCTGGCAATCTGTAAGAATTGTGTAACTCCCATTTAATTCTTGAACTAATTTCCACAGAACCAGAAGCTCTGGTCTAAGTAATTCATTGCAGCAGCTCTGGGTGTTGTGCTCCTCTGGACTGAGCATGCTGCAGAGCTGCTGCTTTGTCTCTCTGGCCCCTTTTCAGAACATTTTCTCTGTGGCCAGTTTGGGGGCCTGGAGCTCTGCCACCCAATTGTCCCCAAACTCACAAGCTGGTGCTGACACAGGAGATACTGCAGTAGTTAAAGCACACTCTCAAAATAATGGGATTTTGGGATCTACACTTCAGTGAAAGAAATGTTGCGCACAGACGAATACCCACATTGTTCCCATGATTCCACTGCAATATTCTTCTCCTCTTTAAAAACAGGTAAACTACAGCCAGGACACCATGCAGTGCCTCATACTTCATTCCATGTTTGAGAGTCCTCAGGGAACTTTGTCCACAAGGCATTTCAATTCCTTCCCCTTCTCTTTGTTAAATCCTTTCAGTAAATTCCCAGTTTTTGATTCAACTGAAAAAGTCCTTGTCCCCACCCTGCTATTTCAGCAAACAGTTTCTGCTGTACTAACACTGACAGCCTCCTTGATCTTAAGATTAGTCCTCAGTCCCAGCCCGGCAGTTTCTCCCCTAACAAGCTGATTTTGCTGAAAGTCAGGACTTTCTCTAAAGGGATGGTGTTGTGACAGAGAGCCTTCCATCCTTCTCCTCAACACAGAAGCTGAGCCTGGGGGGAACAGGCAACACAATTTGCAACACATTGCAAACCAGTTTGCCTCTTGACAACGCCTCCACAGAAACATGAGAGTCACATCAAGCTAATTCCCATAAAGAATTCATAAACACCAGGCAGATTCCCCAGTGAGGGCTCTGCAATTAGAGATCCAAGCATGGGATTCCAACACTCTTAATCTGACAATTATTGAATCAAACCCTATCAAGAATTAGCCTTAGATATACATCTGCTTCCTAGGCAAATATCTGGTGTTCAGCATCTTGTTTCAGTGGTGCCCTCAGCAAGTTACTCAATATGCTGGCAACAATGCACATGTAACATACATACATATGCACACATATCCTCTGCTGCTGCCTTCTTGTGTTTCCCATCTGTGTGTGTGTCTGTGTGCTATTTTTGGCACAGCTCTGCTGGTGAACATACCTATAGGCACATAGACATGCAATTTTTATGATCATATATGTAAAAAGGGATCTGCAAAACAATCAGTTTGAAGTCAAAATATTTCAAGTGTAGAAATGTTTCAAAGAAATATCAACCTCTGATTACCAGTAGATTCTTTGCTGTTACAAAAATGGTCAGGATTTGTTCACTTGCTGCAACACGTGCCTTCCTAATTGATCCATTATGTGCCAATATTACTTTTGCAGTGAAAGTATTCAGTTTTCAAAGGACTTGCAGGGCACTCACGGGAAAGCAAAGTAACCTGAGCGAAAGACAGTGAGGATATAGCAGCAAATAGCAGCGAAAGACAGTGAGGATATAGCAGCAATTATGTTAATAGCAATAGAAAAAGTGTCTCAACACAACTGTTTTGAAACTGGTTTTAGACTGTGCAAGAGGAAAACAAAGTGAACAAGGCAAAACATGAAGGGAATAAGAGGCAGATGGTGATTTTGGGGAGTTCTCCAGAAGATAAAGTCATGAGCTCACGAACTGCCACAAAATGTCTGTGAGATACATCCTATCGGTTCCATTGCTTTCGACCACAAGTTTAGCTAATTCTTTAGAATGAATTGCTTAAACTTAATCCCAAAAGCAGAAAGCAAGTTAGGACTATGAATGGTCTGGAATTCATTACTGCAATTTCAACACTAGGAACCAGTCAAATATGAGCACATGCTGACAGGCCACAGAGTCTCATTTCTTCCTTTTTCAGACTTTGACCTTGGTGGACATGATTTACATAAAGGTAATAAACTGATAATAGTCTGTATAAAGAGCAGGGGCTCAAGACTTGGGAAGACTTTGTATGTATGCACTGTGCTCTCCTTTTCCTTACCCCAAGTGTCTAGACCAGAGGTGTCTATCAGATACCTGCAGAGCAAAGAACTAAGTAAACTTTATGCATCATAAGATGTATATTGAGCACTAATTTATCCTCACTACCTGGGGATGGCTCTGCACATTTTCTACCCTTACTTCTGTTTCCCTGGTGTGGTTGCTCAGCTGTTTACAGTGAAAGCACTGCTGTGCTGTCCCAGCCAAGGCAGCTGCTCAGAGCTGGCTGACTGACACACTGAGCTGTTTACTTGTTTGTAGTGGAAACTTGAAAGCAACTGACTCCCAGGGGGAGTATCCTGGTGACTTCATAGGGCCTTTGCCTCTTGGATGCTGAGGGAAATGTTTCAGAGGTTTCTTAAAATAAATAAATAAGCAAATAAATCCTCCCTCCTGAGTGTGAGCTCATGATCCTCCTTTCCAACACGCTTTCCCTTCCTGTTTGAATTCAGGACGACACCAAGCTAAGCCAGTGGCTTTCACATCACTCCTACCTCCAGTCTCAAGGTGCAGAGACAATTAAGTTGGTAAAGGTCAACTGCACATCCAAGTGCCTGAGTCTTTCTGGATGTGAATCACCACGGGGACATTGAAGTCCACTTGACCTGAGCTTGAGGAATGCATTAACATCAGGAGGCCTCACTTCCCCCTTTTGATGCCCTCAGTAATGCTGAATTAGTTTCTCAGTTCTCACCTGGAAAGCAGTGACAGAGTCTTAGCACATTTTCACTACTATTCCCTTGCAGCAGAGAGCAGGACTGAAGGTCTGGATGGTGGAAGAGATTCTCCTGGCATGTCTCACATCCCCATTGTGCTTACACAGCCTTAAACATATGGAGGCCTTTTTCCTTAAAAACCCTCTCCTCAAGGAGCTTTCTAGTGATTGCTTTCCCCCTTGACTTTGGGGTGGGTTCTGCATTGAGGAAGAAGCTGGGATGTTTCTAATTTTGTAGTGTGCATGTACAACATATTGATTTTAGCATTCATCTGTTACAAATACTGCATTAATTGTCTTCAAACCAAGATTCTTTTAAGGCTCACTGAAGATTAACAAAGAAAATCAGCTGGAAGTTTCCCATTTCAGGATTTGCTAGCACAGTTCTAGTTGGTACATGTGGAAAATGGATTTTTATTATGCTTGCATAGCTCAGGATATGATGAAAAAAATCTCAGTTTTTAACTTTAGCCTAGGATTTAGAAAGGAATATTTTAAATAAGTAAAATGATTTGCCAAGAGGATTTGCAGAGTGACAGCACTGAGGTTTGCAGGCTACACCAATTAAAGGGTTCGTTACTGAGGATTGTGCATTTCCTGGTTAAAAACAATAAAATACAAGGAGATACCAGTCTAGAATGTATATTTAAGGATCGCCAAAGAAAAATCTTTGACATCCTACCTGAAACTCTTTGTATAACACAATAGCTAGTAATAGAGCTATTCCAGATGAGTAAAGAACATAGAGACCAGTGACATTTTTTGCTTGGAGGTTTCCAGTCCTCAGAGGTCCAGGTTAGTGCGGAGAAATAACCCAACATTCCACTTGCCACAGGGAAATCATTAGAA